GCTTTTTTCTTCTTTTTTTTTCCTTTCTTTTTTTGAAGCGAGTGGTTGAAGCAAATGCAGCATAAGAGCCCCCTGGTGGCTGAAGAAAAAAATCCACGAATAAGCCGCACCAGAGTATAAGCTGCAAAGTTCAAAGTTCAGGAAAAAAGTCGCGGCTTATAGTCCGAAAAATACGTTAATCAATTGGGTTTTTTTTTTAAACAATCATTGGTTAAATGTTATTTGGTTTTATGTTGCAATACACTTCGTTTTTGTCACACTTTACATTTTGCTTTTTTATTGTGTTTTTCTTTTTATCTTGATGTTGCTTTTTGTGTTTTTTTTTTATTGTTGACAGATGGGACCTCAGTATCTATCTTTCATTCCTCATGTAGTACTCATTTGAAGTGACAGTAAAAATTTCTTGATAAATCTCTTCATGCACAAAATTTAACTATGACGCAAATATGTTTAGAGTATTTTTTAGCTACAATATTTATTTAGTATTTAGCTAATACAAAAATGCAATGCATTTTCAAAAAATTTAAACAATTAAGGTAAAGCAAGCCGGTCTTACTTTTTTTTTTCTCACCAACACGCTAGTCAGACTCGTCTGCAGAAACTCCCTCAGTTTACGCTGGTTTTAAACTGRCCTGATAATCAGGCTGGAACTACTCCAGTGGTGAGACAGCGTTGCAGTGCGTACAGATTAGGGCTAGGCGATATGGTTTAAAATCAATATCAAGATATTGAGCAGTTCACCTTGATAACGATAAATGCACAATAATTCTTACCACACACAAGTATAGGGCTGCCACAGACGATTATTTTAATAATCGATTATTCGTCAACTAATCGTGGCAGCCCTTATTAATATTATTATTATTAAAGCAAAAATATTTTAGTGTGGCTTTTGGAGAGATTGTTAAACCATTAGATGGAGAGTGAATGCAGGCTATGTCAGATGGAGTCAAAAGTCAGCACTAGTTTAGGTGGGATTGAACTTTCCTTTTAATACTGTACATTATATATATTTTTTCAACTCAATCTTCATGAAATTCATAAAGTTCATTAAAAAATCACAATAGGCACAAAACAATCAATGGAGCAGGGGGTGGGGGATTCTCAGACAGAACAGATAATGACTGAGCAGTGTGTGCGTGTGAACGGGTTGTTGTCTGCAGGCGGTTTAGTGAAGAGACGAGGCTGCACTGCAAACTAAACATTTTCTCAAGCTCTACATAAAAAAAACTTTGAAACTGAGTTTTTCACAAGATTGGTTTTTATTCATGCAAAGGAGGAAATTTCATGTAGGCCTTAATTTATGGACAGTTCGTACAGCGTGACATGTATGAACATTATTGCAATGAATGTGAGCTTATTTTAGGATTTTCACAATTTGATCTTGACATTACTCAGAGAATATATTCTTGGATGTGAAATCCAATGCGGTGGTCCTTACCTAGGGTTTTCTAATGGCATCCAGATTCAGCTTTGTGGCACATCGAAGTGTCGTAAATCACTGTAAGACTGACACTTCAGATTTAGTCCCACACCTGATAACTGACTTTTAAGTCCAGGTTTGAGCAAAATTTTTTTACACTTAAGCCCAATCTTAACAGGATTCTTAAGYGTAATTCTAAGGTGTTTGATAAAAATGGGCCCCGGTCTTTAATAACAAGTTGCTTCAATGATTATGCAATGACACTTTAAAAAGGGGGTGCAATCTGAGGTTGCACTCCAAGTATCACAATGCTTTTTTCATGCATAATCAATCCTCTGAACAGGTGCTTCTATTCATTTAGTTTTGTGTCTCTTTAAATTCCTTTCCTCTCTGTGCTCACAGATTTACCAACAGGATGGGAGGAAGGCTACACCTTCGAGGGAGCTCGGTGCTTCATTAAGTGAGTTGGAAATGAGTGTTAAAGAAAAACATTGAAATAGGAGACTGATAAATAAAAAGAAAGAAAGAGGAGCAGCTCATGGRTGACTGAGCTGACACCCACCACCAATCAGCATTCATGCACTGTGTAGAATGAAACGAGGAGAGAAACAGAAGGGTGAAACTGTTTCTGCACTCTGCTACACTGTTTTACCAGTAGGGGGCACCAGATCAGATTTTTCTAACCGTTTATTCACCTTTTTTAGAAATCAGACTCTTGTACACCACAGTGTGAGATTCTAAGGTTGCAGGAAACCCCTTTTCATAAGCTTTGAGTACACAAAGATGAAGAAACCAACTTTGTCTTTTGGAAATTTATTACAAACATAGAACAATCAAGTTTCATATAATAATGAATAAAAATAATAAAAATTAATTACATAAAAGTAATAAAGGCATATAAAATAATTTATACGTAAAAATAAAGTAGACTTGATATTATGTAGTCTTAAGTTTTGTCAGATCCTGGCTTTATTTTATTCTTCTGTCAGTCACACAACTGTTCTCACCTCTCTTGTCTGGGTCTACAAACATACGGCACCAGAGAACAACTTTCTGACATCAAAGAGACAAACGTTTGACAGTTGAGAGTGACTCAGACAGCTGAACAGGGTGTTCTGGTTTGCGTGTTATTTGTGTGTGTGCGTATTAGCCTTCTGAGCACAGGCGTGGACACGAACATACTGTATGTCTGCCGGCAGTTCTCACATTCACAGCTGAGGCGCATGCAGAAACACAACATTTTTTGTGGCCTTTTGGTTTGTTATTTACACTGAGTTTCTCTGTGCCTGTTTAAAGGGTCCAAGCCAACAGAGGCAAACAAATGTAGTTGCAAAGAAGCAGCATTTCCATGCTTCCCATAGACCAAAAACATGCATGTTCTGTTAACTGGTAACTCTAAATTGTTCCTAGGTGTGAGTGAGACGGTGAATGGTTGTTTGTCTCATTTGTCTCTCTCTGTCCAGGATGTACCCTGCCTCTTTCACAGTGACTGCTGGACATGGGCACCAGCCACTCTCACAACACAAAACAGAAAGGCAGGTTAAAGATAAGAGGTTTAGATTATTAGGGGTCCAAGCCCATAGAACAGGGGGAACGCAGCAGTGTTTCCATGCATCCAGCGGAGCATGGAAGCATGGAAATGCATCTGTTCTGATTTTTTAAATTATTAAATATTATTAGGGGTCCAAGCCAACAGAGCAGGGGTATGCAGCTGAAAAGCAGCAGCATTTTCATGCATTCAGCTGTTTCTGTTTCTTTATTTATTATTCCATAATTTTTTTTTGTAAGTCTGTAAAACTCATACTGCAGCCCAAACCACAMGGACTATGCTGAAGGTATTACACGGTAGTAAAAAGGCCTAACATGCACAGTGGAGAAAAATAATCACACGTCAACCAATAGGGAGTGATATAATTAAGGCCTTTGCATTTGGTCTTGTAACTTCCAAACTAGGGCTGCCACAAACAATTACTTTTATAGCAGATTAATCACCAATTATTTTTTCGATTAGTCGACTAATCGGATCATACGTTAATTGAATATAAAACATAGAGCTTATCGCGCCAGAATGCAGCTGCTATTATATACTGTAACCATGGTTAGATTTTAGCTATATGCTAACTAAAAATAATTGCTGTGGAAGGCAAGTTCTGCTCTGCAGATATTACACAGGTTTCTCTTTCATTTTCTTAAAATGATCCCACACTTTTGAGCTCTGTTGTCAGGTAGCCATGATACCAGAGCCTGTCTGTATAATGTCTTGTGACGTCCACGGCCTACCCCAGTTACCACTACTGTGCATGTGTGTCAASGACAGAAAGGCAGATGTGGCAGTGGAAGGTGTCAAAGCAGTTTGGAGAGAAAAACAAAGTAAAGAACAAAAAATAAAGACTTATCGATTATTAAATTAGTCATCGATTATTTTAATAATCGATTAGTCATCGACTAATCGACTAATTGTGGCAGCCCTATTCCAAACCATAAGTTGCAAAATATTTTTGGCTAAATCTTCAGAATCTCTGATCATTACTAACTCACATGGCTCAGGCCACAACCATTTCTGCCTAAACATAATTTTCAACAGTGCAAAATTAGCAGAAACTACTTTTAGCTTCCTTTCCAACATCTAAATTTCATTCACCATGAAAGTCACCATCATAAATCTAGATAGTGTGCTGATTCTAACTAATGAAAAGAAAGTAGTAATTTTTTTAAATGGGTGAGTTACGCTTAGGCAAATAGCTATGGCAAGCTAGCTAAACACAAATTTAGCCCTGTTTTCGAGTCAGTGGTAGAAGAATAAATAAAATTATAGTGATGTTACAGCAGTCAATTATGAGTTAGTGGACCAAATTTGAAAATCATTGAGGTATATGGGACATTATAAACCTTTTTTTTTCATGCAAAAATGGCTTATCGGATATTCATGAACTGTTTTTTTTACTTGTCTCTGCACTGTTTAAGACTGCGTGTGTAACAAACAGGTGGTGAGTTGGTCCGAAACCTCCTGGGATATCTGCTCGTCAGAGATAGAAGACTCGAGAGCGCTCTTGACGCTGTTCTGCTCCCATCTCGCCGATCTACCAGTTGTGTGTACCGATAAGCATCATAACTAGAAAGAAGACAAAAAAGAAAACAAACAAAAAAAGAGCGTCCCGGACCAAAATCACCACCAGCCCACTATGCCCGATGGCCAGTCCAGCAGTGCCTCCGTAGCTTTAGCCGAGTACCTTTTTAGCTGAACTTGCGTTTTATAAATACACGTTCAAAGTTGGGGTTTCTGTTGTTTCTGTGCACGTGTAAATATTTTTATTTATATATAATCTTTACAGCAAACACCCCTTTGAAATTTAAAACACAATAAAAACTATCAACGTGATACAATACTTCAATAAAAAGACTTGTCATGCAGTACACACTGATTTGAATTGACTAATAAAGCAGTAGAAAAGCCTATTACATGTAAACTTTATCAGGATAACTCAACTGCATTTTGCTAAAAATCTTAAGTATAAATGCACACAGGTAAATACAATTTCTGCATAATACCTCTGTGATCTAAAAGCAGCCTCCAAAGAAAAAGTTGAATATGATAATAGAAAAGTCATTTTCTTTTTTTGTTTTTAAATACCAATTTCAAAATAAAACTTTTTAGAGCTGTAATCATAATACTGTCAAATCAAATCGTGAACCCGTGATGTTTTTGCCCAAGGTTATCATACCATCATAAATTCATACCATCCCATGCCTAAGCACAGCCAAAATATGACATATTAAATGGCCAGTTATGCACTAAATGGGTCTTAACAAACTTTGTTGACCTGCCGTCGCCACCTCCTTTGGCAGCAGCAATTACTGTATCTTCTCTGTTCCTTAAACCGAATCAAACTTTACACAACCGTTTTGAAGCTATGATAAAATTATTTAAAAACAAGATCATTTCAATTGAGCTTCAGTATACCTCTCTAGTTTTGGAAATTCTCACAAAAATCTTCCCACAAAAAAAAACAACAAAAAAAACATAGCTTTCATGTGAATCAGGACCCTTTTAAAGTCTTGACTTCCCACAAGACTCTGCTGTAATGTAATGCAACACTTGGCTACATATTCTCAAAATTGGTTTTGTGCACATCACTTGTCACAACATTTTTTTCAACTAAAACATTCTACTGTCTAATAAAATATTTACATTTTGAAAACTAAATGGTGGATATCCTAAATTAAATGAATATTAGCAAATTTAAAAAAATACAGCAGTGATTAAGTTCAATAAAATTGTAGATGTTTTCTCCCTGGGTGCACTATTGAGCTGTGAAGTGGTTAGAGCTCACAGCAAGGCCTGCAGACTTTCTGTGTGGAGTTTACATGTTCTCCCCATGCATGCATGAGTTTTCTCGAGTAACTCCAGGTTTCTGCCTCTTTTCAGTTTTGTGACCACTGTAGCTGTATGTTGTTCTGCTAACACTCATTTGTCTTGTTTTTTCTCTGTTCTTAATGCAGCCACCCTGAAAGAAAGGTGACCTGTAAGCACCCAGTATCAGGCRTTCCCTCCCAAGACAATTGCATCTTTGTTGTAAATGAACAGTAAGTCTGTCTTATTTTATTTTATTTTAATTTATTTTATTATGGTCATATTGTTTTCATACTGCTAAAGTGTAGCACTAAAACAGCTGCACCTAGCAGCGTGAAATTTGGTAGAAGTATAGTTGTAGCCGACCTAAACTGCGCTAGCAAACGATTTTGCGATAGACCCCATATTTCAAGTGGGGGCGCTATTTCAAAAGTTGGTGTCTGGACATACAAAAATGCTTAAATCTCAAAAACTACTCAACATAGGAACTTCAGATTTTTTTTTGTTATTTAGCTCTAATTAAGGGCTATTATTTCATGATATCATTATGTGTTTCTATTAGTATTGGGCATAGATTAGCTAGATAAACTTTATTGTCTGTCCCAAATGTGACAGAAATTAAAATTAAAACAGATTAAAATTTTTTAATCATGATTAATCTCCATTATTTTGCGAATAATCTTGATTACCGTATTTTTCGGACTATTAGCCACACCCGCCATTTTTTAAAAAAAAACGCGAACATTAGCATATAAGCCGCACCAGACTATAAGCCACACCCACAACATTAAAAAAACCAGTACACCCAAAATTGTCGTCAAAAAAGTGAATTCAACATCAAAACACAAAAAGCAAACCTTGAGGAATTAAAGTTCGGAGGAATATAGTTCATTTAACTGACCTTATTTTGGTAGTTTTCTTTAACAGTTTCTGGTCCAACAAAACGTCTCATTCATCTTCCTCCGRTGCACTGAAACCATCAAAGTCCTCCTCTTCAGTGTCGGACTTAAACAAGCTGAGAAAAGCTGTGTCACACAGCGGTATCTGTTCAATGTTGCTTTCTGTGTCGCTGTCCTCCCGGGGTAATGCTGGCTCTGAAGCTGTGGTGTCCTCTTCACGTAGCAGTCCAGCCTTTAGGAACCCATTGGTGATGGTGGACTCATTCACTCTGCTCCACGCTGTTAGGATCCACTGGCAGACATCAGGAAATGACGATCTTTGCATTCGGCCAGTTTTTGTTAATGATTTATCCCCGTCAGTCATCTAAGCCTCCCATTCAGCCCTGAGTGCTGCTTTAAATGCACGATTCACACTGATGTCCAGGGGTTGTACAAACTTTGTTGTACCTCCAGGAATAACAGCAGGAATTGAGTTTGTTTTCTTGATGGCTGCTTTCACTGAATCCRKGATGTGGGCCCGCATACTGTCCAATATCGTGTCTGTCGAAGATCCGTCGTGTCGTGTCTGCTACTAGCTAAAACAAAATGGCGCTACAYCTCCAGCTAAGCTGGCAGTATGGTCGCTTGGCTGTCGACCGGTCAACGCGCCGTCACGTGGTTGTTCGGCGTTCGTTTTTGCACTGACCTTTCATAGTTCCCCCAAGAAACCCCATCTAGCTGCTGGGAAAGCCCTCCCACTCCAGCATACGTCACTGCATGGGATTCCTTCCCAGGGGAGTGCAATGCGGAAAAAAAAAGTCCGCGGCTCTTCACTCTACATTTTTTATCCACAAACTGGTCCCGGATTAAGCTCCAAAGTTTTTATCAGTCAGATTCCACCGTGAAAAATGTCTGTTTTATCCCCTTTTATGAGTTTTTGGCCATTGACTATCTTTAAATCGCTGCTTCCTGGTCAACAGTCGGCTCTGGAAGCGATCGCTTTTTTTTCTTCTGTTTTTTTTCTTTCTCTTTTTGAAGCGAGTGGTTGAAGCAAATGGAGCAA